AGCTCAAGAAAGGGGGGGGGTCGTATTATACATGAGCTCATATTATTCACAAATAAATATGGTAAAAKAAACAACTAAATAAAAGTAAAAAAATACCTTAACAGAAACTGAATTTCACTGATAAGAAAAGTACTTCAGCAAAAGCCATCATACTACTCAAAATAATTAGGAAAGTAAAAGTACTTTTACACACACTCTAAGAAATGAAGTGTTGAATATACTTAAGCAAACTGGTTCCACTAAGATGAAATGAGTAAACTGAACAATTTAGAGATTGAAGTTAAGAGTCATCCATGTTTTTATGTCATCAAGACATGCTTGTAGTTTAAGTAACTGGGTGGATTCATGGATAAATAYAACTGAGTATCATCAGCATAATGTTGCCTCTGCAGCCTGACTACAGAGAAGTGATGGGAGATGGAGATGGAAAATTAAAATCCAGGCAATAAGAGGCTGTCCCTGGTGTTGGGGGAGACTCTCAATCAGTGCAGCAGAGCACAGCAACACAATCTGTCTGACAGGAGCTGATGAAATGAAATGAGAGGAAAGATATTCTGCGGATGATGGGAACAGGAGGGGAAGCTTTTATTACAGAGTCTTCATGAATCTCTCTGGTTCAACGTAAACATGAGCATCAGCTCTGCCAGCAGCTCAGGAGGTTTTTTCATATCGTTCTTGTTTGTCCCAAACCTTCTCTGCTGAAGCACAGCCAGAGGTCTGRCAGGATGTAGGAGCTTTTTATTGCTCACATCTGAAGGTGAAGGTCCGGTGATGTTCTGTGCTCCTGTCAGAACCTGACTGACTGGCCATGAGCATAGTTTGCTCATTTTAAATATAATTTWAAAAAAACTACACTGAAAAAAATGATTTTGGGGTGTAGTAACTTTTATTTAATTATTCTTTTAATTTAAAAAAGAACTTGTAAGATTTACTAGAAAAAATCCTCGTAACAATTTGTACTAACATTTGTTAAGTAAATTTAAAGGCCACAAATTCATGTAATATTTACTCATCATTTATAGTTAGAGATTTGTGAATAAATCAGGTAAATGTTACTTACTTTGCTCAATTAAATCTTGTAACATACTTGATCAAATTAAGTAAAATTGACCTGCTTTATTC